CCTGTGTAGCATTGATAACTAAGAAAAACTAGCAAGAGATGCTATGTGCACAAATTATTAATAAACGCAGAACATAAGAAATGCAGTCTCGTTCCGAAGAGATATGGGAACAGACCTGCGTGGATCGTAAATTTCCACTGAACGAATACGAGCTGTTCCATTGAATCCACCTATAGCGTAGACCAAATCGCCTGCCATTACCACTCCACATCGACAACGGCGTTGTTGTAAGGAAGCCACTAAAAGGAAAACATTTTGCCTGGATCATTAACCAAGTGAAACCCTATAAAAACTTGTCTACTTACGCGAACTCCAACGCTGGGAATCAGGATCAAATGTGTCTACATTCGAAATAGCCTTCGGCGCTTGACCACCAACTAGCATCACAAGCTACAAATGTGAAATAAAATAGAGGGCATATATTTTTATGCTTCAAAAGCAGCTGTTCCTGTGAGGGAATGGGTGGGTCAGAAATGGAAAAGAAACCTGCGACAAAGGAACTGGTTGACGAGGACGAATCCAACTTGCAGCGAGTCCCGGTGTTACTTCCTTTTTGAGAATGTGATGGTAAACCGAACAAAGCATGGCGATGCATGCAGGAGACTCTTGAATCTAAACGTAAAGATAGCATTAACTAGCTGAAGTATGTCGCGAGAGCAAATAATTGTATCAAAAGAAACAAATACTTTCAAAAAAGAATCTAACCAAAGGCTCTTGGTATGCGCGATCAAGAAGGAATTCTTGAGAAATCAATGGTAAACGAACTGCTGCAAGTACCCTGAAAAAGTGTATGGAATAACAATTAACTCTGCCTTTAAATAAAGGTGAGCTGAGATACTTTGGGAGCGATGGTTTCCTTGAAAGATCATACTTCACCCAATTGATCGCCGCCTCGAAAACAGCTTCTTCACCCTGAATAAATAAAAATGAATGTAAAGGGAGAAATTTTCTCACCAATCATCTGCTGCTAGTCATTTGAATTTATATGGTGAAGTTTTTATAAAACAGTTTTACCTCTGTTGTAAGCCTGTCGTCAGAGATGAGTTGGATGAAACTGCTTTCGTCCATCGTTAACAACTCCTCGCTTTCAATCAACAGTCTAGAACCGTCAAATCATAACAATTACTTTGGCGAGCTGAAATTGTGAGACAATTGGCACAAAACCTTTAGGCTTTATTGAGGTTCACACAGCTACGCAATATGACATACATCACAGCACTTGGTCAGCAGGCTACAAATGCAATGTCATACTTGTGCTAAATGGCGCAACCAGAGTGAGCCACATCCATCGGGATTCGTCGCCACCGAAGGGGAGGGGGAAGGGTAGGGGACGGTCGCATTTGCCTATCTTGGAAGGTCGTACTGAGTGGAGCTGGCAGTGCATATTAGCGGGTCAGCGACCTAGATAGAGTGCAGAGTATTTGGAAAAGATTTACAGTATTTTTACAAAATTTTCACGATTATTGCAAGATTTGAGGGATTTCACGGAAAACTCAAAATTTCCCAATCTTGGTTGCACTATTTATTTTCTAGGCTCTGGTCGACACATTTCTGAGTAAATCCAAGGTATGTTTTCAGGCAGTATTGAAGAGAATGGAAAAGAACGTGGAGAGGGAAGTGAGTTGTGGAACGGAACCATAACTGATGGTGATCTACAATTCACATGGCTCTAACTAGGCCAGGTTTTCTTCACGCTTTTTTTCAGATACGAAGCTGTGAGTTTACAAACAAATAGTTTTTTTTCAATGAAAGACATTCTTTTCGAGATGGCACCCTCACACAACCTCCAGCTTTGCCATCGAATCACATTGGAAATTTATGAGAAAAACATTAATGGTAAACTCTATGTAGAAACGGCTTCACCTGAAATGTTGGTGGGTAAACATTTGAGCAGCAT